TATGTGATGATTTAGACTTCCGGGTGGGCCTCCCTTGTCATGTGAGTGGCGGCGGCCCAACCATCAGGCATCGCCGTCCCTCTCCTCACGCAAGAGGTAGTAGGGCAGCGGCGGCGGCGCGGGAAGGCGAGGGCGGCCATATCCAAGGGTGGCGAGGCCATATGGTCTGATTCCAGCCAGATCCAGAGTTCGACGGGGGTGTGAAGGTGAAACAACGCTGAACTTGTGGCGAGGGCGGCCCAACCATCGGGCATCATCGTCCCTCTCCTTGCACGGGAGGTAGCAGGGCAACGGCGACAGTGCCGCAGCGATGTAGGCAGGGGAGGAGGCAAGGTGGCAGACGGATCCGGGGGTGGCGGCTCCATCTGGCCCGGTTCCGGTTGGATCTAGAGTCCGGTGACAGTGTGAAGATGGCATAACGGCAAGCTCATGGCAACGGCGTGATGTGTACTTGAAAGAGATATGAGGGAGACTTTAGGTGGGAGAAGAGAGAAAGGAGGGGAAGGAGAAGCAAAGCGCTTGGGGCGGCGGCTTGGAACTCCGTCGGTCGCCCCTGTCAGCCGAAGGCGGCGGGGTCGGGCACGAGGAGCGGTGCTCGGGGAGGCAAAGCTACGAGGGCAAGTCTCTAGGAGCTCCTCTATCTTAGCCCAGCCTGACGAGGAAGACCCACCCGCGGGTCAAAACAGCCGCTGACCATTGCCGCATCAGCAATAAGTCGAGTCAAACCACCTGCAAATTGATTTTGGACGGATGGAATTGTTTAGGGGTGAAGGGACAAAAAACAAGGGGGTTATGTGAACCATCAACTTTGTTCATGACAGTAAAATGGAATTTTTCTCTAGTCTGATGTACTCCCTCAATTCCATAATATAGTGCGCCCGCGTTTCCCGAGATTCAAATTTGACCGTAAATTTAACTTTAAGACCGATTGCGGCAGGAACAAAAATTATACCACTGATTCTGTATTTTCGATATGAATTCAGTGACATAATTTTTGCTCCCGCCACAGTCGGCCTCGTTGGTTAAATTTACGGTCAAGCATAGATCTCGGAAAGCGCGGGCGCACTATATTGTGAAATGAAGGGAGTAGTTTTTAGTTACACAATGTTCAAAATGTTTCGTTCGGTTTATATGCACTATGTCGTGTTTGCACGAATTTCATCTGATTAGTTCAAACAATGGTTGAAATGTATGCACGCAACGATAGATGGTCTTGCGATAATTGTTTTCCGAAGGGACCGTGTTAGAGTACGTAATTGGCGTGGGCTGGCAGTATAGCCCGTTAGTCTTAGGGTTAATTAGAGATAAGGGTCGCTTGCTTAGGGATCAAGTAAGCCTTGCTTGGGAGTCAAGTAAACCTCTCTATATAAAGAGAGGAGATGTATCAATCTAATCGAGCAAGAATTAAGAAGGAAATCCCTTCCCTCTTGCCCGGTGGTGGGCAAAAAGGCCCCCGATCGGCCCTCTCGCGCCCTCCTTCTTGCAGCACCATAACAGTTTGGTATCAGGTAGCTCAGTTCCTATCATGTCTTCATCGCCGCCCACCCCGTCGCTTCCGCTGCCGACCGTCACCACCGCGCCGCGGGCCATCTACACCGTGCCGCTGCCCTCCCCGTCCGTGCCGCTGGTCGCATCCTCCGGTGCCGCCACCGCCCAGATGCCGGCGCCCTCCACCGCACCACTGGCCGCCGCCTACACCCAGGAGGAGATCACCGGGGTCCTTAACGACCTCGTCACAGCCGTCTAGGGGATCCGGCTGTACCTGGCCAGCCCCTACGGTCCACCGCCGCCCCTGCCGCCGACAGCCTCCACCGAGCTGCCGGCCCTGCCATGGTACTCGCCGCATCCAGGGGCCTTCGCGGCGTTCGTTGGGACGCTGCAGCCCCAGCTGCAGCTGCCGCCGCCGCCTGCCACTGCCCCGCAATGGCCACAATGGCAGGCGCCGGCTTCCACCGCGCCTCCAGCGCCCATCGCCGCCCCTGCACCATCGTGGCTGCCGTGGCAGCCGCTGCACCAGGCGGCCTTCGCCGCGCTCGCCAAGCCACTGCAGCAGCCGCTGCAGCTGCCATCCATCGCCACCACCGCCTAGCCCTGGCTGCAGTGGCAGCCACCGCTCCTGGCGGCCTCCATCGCGCCCGGCGCTCCGCCACAACAGCCGGTGCCGCTGCCCGGTGCGCCACCGCCGGTCAGCTCCGGCTCCGCATCGACCACGCCGGCTGGAGTCCCGCTTCACTAAGTCCAGTCCCTGCCGTCGCCTTCACCGCTTTCGTCTTGGATCGCTACCCACCACGTGTCGGTGGCGGTGAGGCTGCAGGCTCCTGCACGCGGCTTCCTAGCGCGTCGGCGTGTGTGGAAGATGTGTGGTCTGCAGCTGCCGCTCCTCCAAGTTAGCCCTTCGCTGCACAAAGGACCTCGATCTTGTCCGCTGCGTCGGGGATCTTGGGCATGCCGTTTCCCCCCACGGGCGGCGGGCATGTTGTTTTCCCCGCGGGCAGCGACCTCAAAGTCTGCGACATCGACGGTTGGGGAGGTGCACCCTTCCTTGTCATTCTCCATCGCAAGCCCTCCACTCTTCCCTGTGCGGTGCAGACCAACAATAGTCCGGCAGGGAGAAGGCAGGGTGTCACCGACAGGAGCGCACCGCGTAGCACCACCGCTTTTCGCCGCCGGCCGCCGTGAGGGCGCCTCTGCTGGTCTCTCTTGCGACCACTTCCAGGTGGCCATACACATGAACTCCTTTGGTCCAGGTGGTGTCCATGGGATCCAGATGGCTGTACACGTGCACGTCCGACGTGCGGATGGTGTCCACTTTTTGTTGAGGGGTCCAAAATAAAGCGTCCTAGTCCATTTCAGGTTGAGAGTCATAAAACAAGCCGAGATGTAAAAGGCTTGTTTTTAGGTGTTAGGTTTGTGTTGTGTCGAGTCATGGTTATAAGTTGGTTAGGCTGCAGCTCGAGGACAAGCTGCATGTCCAGGTGGGGTGTAGTGTTAGAGTACGTAATGGGCCTGGGCTGGCAGTATAACCCGTTAGTCTTAGGGTTAATTAGAGATAAGGGTCGCTTGCTTAGGGGTCAAGTAAACCTTGCGTGGAAGTTAAGTAAACCTCTTTATATAAAGAGAGGAGATGTATCAATCTAATCAAGCAAGAATTAAGAAGGGAATCCTTTCCCTCCTGCCCGGTCGTGGGCAAAAAGGCCCCCGGCCGGTCCTCTCGCGCCCTCCTTCTAGCAGCACCATAACAGACCGAAAACTGACCATCTACCATTGCGTGCATACATTTCAACCATTGTTTGAACTAACCAGGTGAAATTCGTGCAAACATGAGCGTAGTACATATAAACCGAATGAAACATTTTGAACATGGTGTAACTAAAAACTACTCCCTTCATTTCACAATACAGTGGGTGGGTGGGTGGATTAGAAAATTAAACAGACGTCGGAGCGGGTCAGAGATGTCATTAATTGTTTTCAAGCAACTTGCAGTGGGTGGGTGGATTAGAAAATTAAAACGATAGTTAATAGACGAGTGGTTGGGGGTAACGTCCTTTTGTCACCTAACGCGTGTTTTATATGAAAGGAAGAAAAGTCTGGGACGGCATCCATACGGCATAAACTATGCGAAAGTTCATTTCGTTGACTTGGAATAGCAACTATGGTCCTTCAACTTGCTGGTGCATGACACAACCTTCCTCAAACTCAAAAAGTATTCCAATATAGTCCTTGTACATGAAAATACGATATACATGCGGTCCAAGATACGGTTACAGATACATATCTCGCTTATGTGGGACTGTGTTAGTCTGACAATTTTGCAAGTCGGCCCTCCTTTTCGTTTTCATCCAAAGCTCATCTTTTCCGGCCGAAATCACTATTCTGACCCTTTCAACGAACTTTGTCACAAAATGAAGTCAACGTGAAAGTATTTCACGATCTGACCCTTTTAGCAACGCCACATCCCGCGGCGTTTCTTCCCAACATAGAAACGCCGAGGTAGCTAGCGTTGCGGATCAGGTAAGAAACGCCAAAGACGCTCGCGTTGCTGCCCATCATTGAAACGCCAAGGAACCATGGCGTTGCCACCCTCTTTGGTCATAATTAATTAGCCTTATTAGTTAGGTTGTTCATCCACATTCCACATCCACATTTCACATGCTACCATGTTAATTGTTTTCTATTTCATAATTTCTAATGCAGTCTACCAAACAACATCTTTTGTGTACAACATCTCTCATGCAAGTATATCCTACAGTCCACCAAACATACATCTCATTCCAATTTTGCATCAGCGCAGCCAGGCTAGACTCAGCCAGGAACCTCCATGCGATGCGGGCAGAGCTACCCAGGCAACCAAACACGCCCTATATGACACATCAGTTGCACGAACCAGAGGTAGGCTGGATTGAGCTTATGTTTGTTCACATGGAGTTGTCCTATAGGCTATAGCAGTCTTCGTTGCGTGTACGTAGGATCTTGACTTCTTCAGTCGCTCCCGTGTTGCTGTCTTGCGATCGCACGCGCTAACGTGGCAGTGGCACTCACGCGTGAAGGAAGGCCAAAGCCCGTCGCGGGTCGTCGTCGCTGCCCAGGAGGCACGCAACAAGCAACTCCGTAGGAAATGACCATGAGATGGGAAAAGGATGCGGTTGAGGACGATAACTAAAAGGAAGGCCGACATGCAAAACTTCAAACTAATACAGTGCCACAATAATATCTTTTTTTTTGGCAACTCCCACAATCGTATCTTTTTTTTTTTTTGCATCGACCCACAATCGTATCTAAAACCGTATGTATTACCTATTTTCACGTATAAATACCCTGTACAGAAAGGATGTTTCTGTTATTCACGGCAAGTTGAGGGACCATAGTTGTAATTTACTCGGATGCGGTGTTGATAAGGTCGCGGGTGGCAAGCAGCTAGCATGTCTCTTCCTCCCCGAAAGTTCCGTCCAGAGCGCACGCGTACACACGCTGAAACCAAGTGAGCAGCGAGGACGAAGTTCATGGATGTGTCGGCGTGTTCCGGCGGCCTGGATCCCGCGAGACTGGCCAAGGCGCCGCAGCTGCTGCGCTCGGCCTCCCAGGCCATGGAGGGGCTGGCCGCCGACATCCACTCCTCCGGCGGGAGCGGCCGGAAATGCGCGCCTGGGGCCAGTAGGTGCGGGGGGAAGACCGCCGCCCCCATCCTGGAGGTTCTCGAGGCCTATTTGCTCGAGATCTGGGGCATCTCTGCTGCCGCCGAATATAAGGCGCTGGCTCTGCAGGCCAGGGATGCCTTCTACTTCAACCAAGACCTTCAAGACACGGTCGACTGCCGCAGGTTTCACTCCTCCAACCCATCTCGGGTTCAATTCAAACCACTTCCCGCTCTCAGGTGGTGTGGTTGGCACTGCCTCCCTTTTGGAATAGTTGCGCCCAAACCACCCAAGAAGATCGTCAAAGACATCAAGGTTGTGAATCAAGAAACTCGCAAGATTGGCGATCTACTGGACAAGGGGGAAGACGGCTCATCGCGGCGGCGGCCGCCCCCACCGCGCATGCCTGACTCAAGCAGGGAAATTCTTCAGACTAGAGTATTCATTGGGCGCGACAAGGACAAGGATGATATCGTGCAAATGCTCATCCAGCCATGTGCCAACTCTGTTATCTGTGTTGTTGGTGACGCAGGAATTGGGAAGACAACTATTGCTCAGATGGTGTTCAGTGATGCAACAGTTCGGGAGCATTTTGATGTCAAATGTTGGGTGTCAGTTTCCAGCAGCTCCAACAAGATGGAGCTCGCAGCCGAGATCCTAAGGTCGGTCCTACCGGCTTGGGATGGCTCCGCTGACAAGATGGTGGATTTTCAAATGCTTCAGTCGGAGCTCCGTCGAGCTCTTACTTCCAAGAGGTATCTGATTGTTCTTGATGATGTGTGGAACATCACGGATGAAACCTGGATGGACATGCTCGCTCCTCTACAGTCAGCAGATACCGGGAGCAGAATTATGGCTACTTCCCGCATGGACACCATGCCTCACATCTTCAGAGCGTCGCAGCTGTACACCTTGAATCCGCTGAAGAGCGAGGATTGCTGGGCCCTGCTGAAGGAACATGCTTTGCCAAGTGATCCCTGTAATGTCTATCAAGAACTTCACCCGATCGGGAAGCAGATTGCTGAAAAAATCAATGGATCACCTCTGGCTGCCAAGCTGGTGGGAGGTTTGCTGGGAGATACAAGGAGCAAAATTCACTGGATGAACATCATGGAAAAAGGATTACAAGATAATGCTGTTTTCTCCGCCCTACGCTTGAGCTATAAATACCTACCGGTACACCTCAAGCGATGCTTTGCATATTGCAGTTTGTTTCCAGAGGACTATAAGTTTGATCCAGCACACTTGTTCCGCCTTTGGATTGCCGAGGGTTTTGTTCAACCACAAGACAGGGCTGAAAAAAGGATGGAAGACATTGCTAGAGAATATTTTGATCAGCTCCTTTCACGCTCATTCTTCCAGGAAATCAAGCTTGGATCCAAGACGTACTACTTGGTGCATGGCTTACTCCATGATCTTGCAAGGTCTGTCGCAGCGGAGGACTGCTTCCGTATTGACGATGGCACGAACTGTGACATCCCGTTAACAGTGCGCCATCTGTCTGTCACCATGAACAGTCTACCTGCTCTCACAAGCTTCCGCAGTCTAAAAGAGTTGCGCACCTTGTTAATCCGACCGTCACTTCCATCCAACTCCAGTTGCTCCCAAGAGGATTTTGCTGTGAATTTAAAAGATATCCTGGAGAAGTCAAAACAGTTGCGTGTTCTTGATCTCAGTTGCTTTAACTCCAAAGAGTTGCCCCAATGCATTGATGACTTATTGCACCTCCGTTACCTATCTATCCATGGCTCCATCCAGAGGCTTCCTGAGTCGATTGGCAAGCTCCTGCATCTGCAAGTATTGTGCTTCACTGGGAAATGTTCTTTTGATAAGCTTCCTGAGAGCGTTACTATGTTGGTCAATTTGCGGCACCTTCTTGTTGAAACAAAGTGTACTGCAGGATTGGCGGGCATTGGTCGGCTAGCTAACCTTCAGGGATCACTTGAGTTCCACATTGAGAAGAGGGAAGGGCATAGACTAGAAGAGTTGAGGAACATCAATGGTCTCCATGGGCTACTAAAAATAAAAGGTCTAGAAAATGTTTCAAGCTATGAAGAAGCCTGCAAAGCTGAGTTGAATAAAAAAACACATATTAATTCTTTGAACTTAGAATGGAGCTCTGCTAGTAGGAATAACCCTCCTCCTGCGGACGCAAAGGTACTTGAAGGCCTAAAGCCGCACCAAGACATTAAGGTACTTAACCTTAGAAGGTATTGTGGCAACAGAGCTCCCAGCTGGCTACCGTTATTGCAGCAGCTGCGTTCCTTGCACCTTACCAATTGCAGGAGTTTAACCATGCTTCCTCCACTGGGGCATTTAGGATCACTCAGACATTTACACATGACGGAGCTGTGTGCAGTTGACCGTATTGGACATGAGTTTTATGGCACTGGTGATGTGGCATTTCCATCCCTAAACTTCCTTGAATTTGATGATTTCCCGATGTTGCATGGCTGGTCCGGGATAGCACACGGAAAGTCATTTCCATGCCTTGAAAGATTAATCATAATGGATTGTCCAGAATTGGTAAAAATTCCTCCCTTCCCCCCAACTACTTGTGAAGTTACCATTGAGCGTACACAGTTCTTACCATATATGAGGCTTGCCCCTTTTTCTTCGAGTTCAGAGAAGCTCCAACTGGATGTTTGTACAACTTCTGTCCACTTCAACGGCTTACTTCATGAAAAGCACAGAGAAGCCATTGTAGCCTTAAACATAAGTGGTGCTGAGCAGGTCGTTGCTACTGAGGAAATAGGGTCGCTTGTTTCTCTACAAAGGTTGCAGCTTAGTCGCTGCAATTTTACTGACCAAAATTTTAGTAGGTTTCTCCAGGTTCTACCTTGTCTCCTCTCATTGGAGATTGTAGACCTGCCTAACATGATATCTCTTCCAGCAGCGGAAACACTTAAGTTCTGCACCATGCTCACTGAGTTGTCCATACGTAACTGCCAGCTTTTGCACTCTCTATCCTCATTGCAGTATTTTGATTCACTAAAAGTTCTGGTGATCGAGAGATGTCCTAAAATTACTGCAACATCATTTCCGTTGAACTTTAGGAGCCTTTCATCTCTCAAAGTGTTGAGAATATCATACTGCTCAGAGCTCCAATCTTTACCAGCGTACGGTCTGCCATCCTCATTGGAAACACTTCATATTATTGGGTGCCACCCGGAGTTGTCCAAGCAGTCAAGAAATAGGGCAGGACATTACGTTGAAACTTGCTTTGGTACCTAGTGTGCTGATTCAGTGACAGACTTGCTTTGGGACCTAGTGTGCTGATTCAGTGACAGACTTGCTTTGGTACCTAGTGTGCTGATTCAGTGACAGACTTGCTTTGGTACCTAGTGTGCTGATTCAGTGACAGAATATTTTGCAGGTTCTGCTTAAATCTCAACACTCTTTTTTTCTGCTTGTATTTTGTCAGTGGCATAACAGTTACTATTGTCAATTGCAGGGAGAGATGGCACTGCAAACAGCGAGGCCACCCAAACACAACCTTGGAGCATCTCTAGTAGAATCTATATCCCTTGAAACTGCCAAAATCTGTCAAAATCCCACTCCCATCAGATTCCCTATCCCAAACCATATCCCTATAATTTTTAGGTTCAAACCCAAAAACGCCCCACCTTGACCCAAAATATAGGATAAAAAATACCCACTGATCCACGGGAGACCAAATTCCCACAAGTTCTCGCCTGCTGCCCAATCGCCCCAGTGACGCCATGGACGCCGCCCGTCCCCTGCGGGCCATTCATCTCCTCGTAGTGCTGAGTCGTTGCCGCCCACACTGCCCATGGCGGCTCTCGAGTAAGCTGTGTTGGCATCAAGGAAGTGTGGTGCTGCCTTACGCCGGCGTGCGCACCAGGCCACCGCAGCTCTTAAGCCCCACCTAGGTGCCACCAACATGCAGCCCACTGGCCTTGTGACGCATGATACCGGCATCCAGTATCTGGCGCGCACACATGGCACTGACGCCACCATCAAGCCAAGGAAGAGGGTGATAGTGAGGAAGCCGGCGAGAGGCCCCTCGAACCCCCACGCATCCCTCCCACCCCTCGTAGCCCCTCCTCCGCCTGCTATTGATGTCAGCAAGCTCGGAATGGGCAATGCCTCTGAGGCATTCGACCAAATGCCCACAAGGTGAGTTCGTTTATCTTATTTTTCCGTTTTAACTCTAAATGGTGTTGAATTGTCACTGATTGATTGTTTTGTGCACTGCTAGTGTCAATTTATTTCATGAGCATGATGAGCGCCTTTGTGTGCATAGACGACCTCTACTACTCGATGCCAAATTCTGAAGTACAAGATGTCATGCCGTTGTTTGGCACTCCGTTTGATAAGAAGGGGCAAAGGTCGGCCAATTACACGATGGGTGAGGATGAGGCATTGGTGATGCATAGGAGAATGTGACGCTTGATGCGGCCATGGGGAATGATCATACCGGGGCCAACTATTGGAAGGACATTAAGGAGGAAAATCATCGCAATGTGAAGACGCCCTCCTATCAGGATGAACTATTTTGAATTATGTTGTGCATTTGGATGTTGTGTATTGAAAATTTTGAAACATAAAAGTTTGAATTCTTGTGATGTGAAATTGTAGTTAAATGGAGTTGAATATGCATGGAGACAAGATAAATGAAGGTAGGGGGTGGATAAAGGGGTTACAGTTTTTTAAGGGATGTTGGAGCAGACCCTGGATTGTGCATGCCCTGATGAAATCTTTCAAACTGGTGGTTCCTTTGCAGCTCATATCAAATGTCCATTCCAGTCAATCATGTCCTTGTCTGATTTGCGTTTTAACATAGGTGCTAATTCAGCAGCACGTGATGATTAAGAAACCCATGAAGAGATAGCAAAGTATGGAGCCTTGTCTGATTTGTGTTTTAACACAGGTGTTAATTCAGCAGCACATGATGATTAAGAAAACCATGAAGAGATGGCAAAGTTTGGAGGAAAATAACAGATTTGCTAATACTCATCTAGATGAGAAATAACAAAGTATCATCTAACTCATACACACTATTTGATTAATCAAGCAAAAAAAAAAAACCACACGAATCTTGGCGTAAAATCAAATGGTTTAGGAGTTAGATGTGCCTTAGTTAATTCTCATCTACTCCCTTCGTTCCTAAATATTTGTCTTTCTAGAGATTTCAATAAGTGACTACATACGAGTAAAATGAGTGAATCTACACTCTAAAATATGTCTATATACATCCGTATGTGGTAGTCCATTTGAAATCTCTAAAAAGAGAAATATTTAGGAACGGAGGGAGTAGATGAGAGCTAGCCACACCCGGAAAATAAATATGCAGCTCAGTCCAAAAACCATTTCAATATTGTGGCTACCATCTTTTAATCTGCAGTCCTTTTGGAAAAACCAATTCAACGTTTTTACTTCCCTGTGATGATATCTTGTTGAGTGAAATAATATCTGATGGTAAACTACGTTTGCATCATGCTGAAATTTCGAGGTAAACAGTTGGAGGGCGCAAGTTTGAAGTATTTATCAGCTCGGCCTATGAAAGTTGGCAAGGAATGCGGCGAAGCGTGGCCGGAGGACAGAGCCGAGCATCCTGCGCTTGTAGAGAACCCGGCACCTATGTCCTTGCGATCTGTGCTCGTAGGCTTAGATCAGAGCAAGCACTTGTTGGGTTAATCTTGTTGCACTATTGTTTAGCCATGTCATGCATTAGGTGTGCCATGCAGGCACGTAAAAATGTACTCATGTCTTGGTTTAGCTAGGAATAAGTAAGTAAACGTAGATAGGATAGAAATAAATATGCATGTGCCATCGTGAGACTAACTCCAGGAGTGACCAAAATTAGTTAAGATGAGGTGCATGCATCTTGCACGCATTTGGCCGTGTCATTTGACGAGCTGCATGAGTTGCAAAGGTATGCCTGTGCAGCTAGTCGAGTGATTAGTGGATCAATCCGTTCGTTAGTTGCTTACCGTGCGTGCGTGTGTGCATGCTAGCTAGTGGGTGCGTGTTAACTGAGTGGGTCTAGTTTGGCTATTTATAAGCCCATGTAACTGCATTGTGAGTGTTTATGAGAGAAGAAATACAGACGCACAGGTTGTGTCCCTTCCTATGTTCTGTGAGTAGTTCGTGGATCATATTTGAATTTATGAAAATAGGTGGGCATCCGGTTTCAGATATATATTTATGGAAAGCGGAGGGGGCACTTATGAGCATACGAATTCAGTCAGTTGGGGGGAGGGGGGGGGGGGTCCTCAGCATTGGTCGTTTCAAAATATGAGCCTTGAATTCCAGACGCCAGCGCCAGCCTTGGTCGTCTCAAAATATGAGCTTATGTTTACTACTCCCTCCGCCCCATAATATAAGAACGTTTTTGACACTACAAGTATATGTAGTGTCAAAAACGTTCTTATATTACGAGACAGAGGGAGTACTGAATTCCAGACGCCAACGCCAAGACCATTTTTAATGCACTGAAGGGAAAGGTGGTGCATAGTTTGAGGACAAGCACAAAAAATACTTGAAGCTTTATGGATTGTATTCTGACGTTTACTAAGGGGGTGTTTGGTTCAGAAGTCCTAGGATCTTTTCTAGTCCCAGGGACTAATCAAAAAAGACTCTCCAGTAGAGTCTTTTTCTAGTCCCTATAGAAAAAGTCCCTCCCGTTTGGTTCCTAGGGACTTTTTAGGGACTTTTTCTAGTCTCTGGGGACTAAAAAGTCCCTGAACCAAACACCCCCTAGGACTGTCACGAGCGAGCAGCTTGTTATTAGCCAAAAACCACCACAGAAAACTTGAATGCTGTTGGTGAGTGAAAGATGGCAGATACTAAGACTGCCAGGTTCGTCAGCAAGGCGATACTCTTGACAGTCTCAGGCAGATGGAGCTATTAATGTGTTCGTGGTGGTGCGAGGGTCTATAGATGGCCATCGAGAGTGAGCTTCACGCCAACACCATCCACAGCTTTGCGAATATTAACAGAATGGAACACAAGGTAGCAAGAGAAACAATGAGCGAATTAAATATCCTCTGATGGCGCAGCAAGGCGCACATGTATTTCTCTAGCTACAACTAAAGATGCATGAAACAAAAACAAAGCGGTAGGTTTCTATATTTGAAATATATATGTTTTCATAATGTACATGGCTTAAAGCAGATACAACTATGCCATTTGGTTTGAAAAGGCTCAATTTGGACAATTGCTGCACTATTTAATGACATGTGGCTTGGATAAGCTGACACTGGCGATAGCTCATGGTTGTCTCTTGTCTGCAATGTTTGAAAATGCAACAGGGTGATGTATATGTATCCTTTCTTTATTTCTTTAATTAGTATGACTGCTGCTGAGAATGAAAGTATTATTGCCTACTGAAAGGCTTGAACTAACATTGATTCGCTACGTATTCTTCTTTCTTGAGGATGGCAAACATAGCGCCATTCTCCTTTCGCGATTGAACAACCTACAGGATGGCAAAGAAGGAACAACCTACAGGAATATTCACTGTGAAGTACAAAATTATGGCCCAGGATATTATGTTTAACTCCCTTCTTTAGGATGGCAAAGAAAGGAACAACCTACAGTACTATTCACTGTGAACTACAAATTATGGCACAGGACGTTATCTATAGTACTTCATGGCCCCTCACAGCTTCCCTTCTTCAGGATGGCAAAGATAACGTCCTGTGCCATTCTCCTTTCGCTACTGAATGTGTTTGTTCCTTTCCTTCCAAAGCAGCCTGGGTTCAGATGGGCCGAATAAATATGTTTTTCAATGGAATGTTGAGTTCAGGCAGGCTATTTTTCTGTCAAAAAAAAAATCCTCAAATACGTCTTTGTACAGATGTTCGAAGTGACATGGGATCCCAAGTGATATTATATGTGTGCGCCATAATAGCAAGGAGTCAAAACCTCCGACCCAACTGAAACAAAAATAGCTGGTGTGCACAAGATTGTCAGCAAAAAAACTTGGTTGTTTGCATCAGACAGGGGATTCACTAGGTAGTTTTCCTTTAGGAAAGATTTGCTAGGCAGTTTACCATCGAGGAATACATGTTGCTATACGAAGTGAACTTTGTGTAGGGAATAGCAAGCAAAGCTCTGTGTTAGGTACACAGGTTGTGAACTTTGTGTAGGTACACATCCTGCTCTGCTGTGTCCCCTAAGCGCGCACAAGTTGAATGGGCAGTTTACCCTGGTTTGATTGAACATCCACATTTGGAAGATAGGGTTACCAAAACCATATATCTATCTATAAATGCAGTTTCACGCTAGGAAACAGGCATATTCAGTAGTTGAAAAGATTGTGATGCGTGTGTGCCAATCAATTGACTGTTGTAATCGGTTAAGAACATCTCCCTTCCCCGCATGTCTTGGACA